TCCATAATCGAGCCGAATAAGTTGTCAATAGATTTATTTTGCGGTGAGTCTGCTATCTGAGCACCGGCGTTTGAGAACAAAGGAATGTTTAGTACACGTAAACTTAACAACGCTATACAAGATATAAAAACGTTTGATATAATATTGAAGATAACGCGAGTGAGATAAACAAACTTTTGTATTTACAATGGCTACGGAAGTGCAGGAGTCGTTAAATGTGGTTTAACATATTGCGAAGATCTTAAGAAACACACATGTGAATTTGAAAAAAGCTCCAAAGGCAAGATTAATCCGAAATTACGTAGAAACGCGCCTTAAATGTGTAGAAGATCATTGAAATAAATACCAACAAGCCTATAATGAAATTATACGCTATGCGCCGAGGGATAAAGAAGTATCGTATATTGCAAAAAATAAATATTACGAGCGTGAAGAATTTTATATTATGTTAAAGTCGGATCTTATAGAATTATTAGGACTTGAAGAAATTAGTGTTAGCAATTTATCAGCTATTATTTCCAGTGATACTCAACAAAATCGCGTAGCATTACCGAAAATACAATTACCTACGTTCAGCGGACAATATGAAGAATATATGCCCTTTTATGACCTTTTCAATTCACTTGTGCACACGAACAAATCTTTAAGTAATGTACAAAAGTTACATTAATTGAAAGCAAGTATAATGGGAGAAGCTGCACATATATTAAAACATGTACAAGTGACGGAGTCTAATTATGACAAGGCGTGGGAAACATTAAAAACAAGGTACGGTAACAATTGCATAAACATTAACGCCATTTTATTATTATTATTAGGGTATTATGGACGAGCAGCCAACTTGCTGATGTCCACATCACTGCACTAGAGTAAGTTTGTGATGTAAGAGTTCCCGTGTACATGATTAAACGGTTGTTTAGTCCAATGGGTTGTGCTTTTCTAACCATATATCTAGTTGGCATTTAAAACTGTTCACTGACTTTACGGTCACAACATTTTCCGGAAGCTTGTTCCATATCGCAACAACACGATTGTTCGAAGTGTGATAGGCTACCAGCGACTGTGAGTGTGAGCGATCTATTTCGAAGCTGTGTCCCCGTGATGAGTATGCTTTCCGCTGGAGGAGGAACATATCCTTGATATTCGGAAGATTATATCTTGAGCTTAGTATTTTATAGGTCTTAATAAGATCACCTCTCATCCTGCGATGTTTTAATGTCGGTAATTTTAACACTTTTAAGCGTTCCTCGTAAGTCTTACGTCGCAGTCCATACGGTATTCTAGTTGCTCGCCTTTGCACACTTTCCAGCAGGTCAACGTCCTTTACAAGGTAGGGATTCCAAATTTGAAAACCGTATTCTAACAGAGGCCTAACATAAGTTTTATAAATTTTGATGAAAACTGAAGGTGTCATGTGTTGGTATGCAGGTCGTATAGCATATGAGAAAGAATTTGCCTTTTTAACTATAATATTGATGTGGTCAGCCCATTTTAAGTTGCTGGTTATCGTTACTCCAGGATCTTTTTGCGACTTTACAGATGCAACTATTGTGTCACCTATTGTGTATGGTACTTCAGAGTTGTTCTTACCCAGACGCAATACTGTACATTTGGATGCATTGAGCTTCGCAATCCACTCTTTGGTCCACTCTTGTAAATTGTCCAGATCTGATTGGAGTTGTCCTGACCGAATGACAGGATCACCAAAGAACTTTCCATCATCAGCGAAAAAGCATGACTCACACTCTATTAATGCTATTAAATTTGCAGCGAAAATGTTGAACAGGATATGTAGGTGAGAGAACCGAGCCCTGGGGGACACTACTCAGAACCTTCATTGTCTCAAATAATGTGTCACCGACTCTGACTTGGTATGTTCTATTTGCAAGGTAGTTTTCAACCCATTTTAGGAGATTTCCACGCATAGCAAAGTGCTCAAGTTTCAACAATAGTCGATTGTGAGGAACCTTATCAAAAGCACGTTCGAAATCCAAGTAAATGACGTCCACACTTCTTTTTTGATCAAGTTCCGTTGACCACGTGTTAACACATGTTGGTAGATTAGTTACCGTGGATCTCCCCTCAACAAAGCCATGTTTTTTCACAGAAATAATGTTTTGTCTGTTGAGGAATGACCTGATATGGTTTGATATAATCTTGTCCGTACATTTACCTATAGCACTTGTGAGGCTGATAGGCCTTAACTTAGCCGGGTCAGTCTTATCACCGTTTTTGTATACAGTCACTATGGCATGTTTCCAATCCCTGGGTAATCTATTGTTTGTAAAGGAGGTTCTCATTATTTCTGCCAATACAGGAGCAATCAGGTCTGCACTGTTTCTTAGTAATATATTTGGTATACTGTCTGGTCCTGGTGAAGAGCTTACCTTAAGGTTCTTTAGTACTTTTGCAATTTCCTCTTCCTCAAATGGGATATCACATAGGGAGGCTTGAACGCGTGCAATGCCATTAATCTTAGGTATATTGTTTATAGGTGGTTCCTTAAAGTATGCTTTACTAAATTCCTCAGCAAATGTATTAGCAATATCCAGTGGACTAGTCACTAGGTTGCCAAGCGGGCTCCGCATAGCAGGTGGAATGCTAACCTTAGAGGACGTACACCTACGCAAGTATGAATAGAAGCATTTGTCTCCATGTTTAAGTATGTCTGCCTCATAGTAACTTCTATACTTTCTACACTCATTAATGCATTTGTTGCTAATGGTCCTGTATTCCAAGTAGTCTTCTGTTGTTTTACTGGCAGAGTATACATCCCAAAGTTTGTGTTTTGCATGTGTTAGTTTTAATATGTGCGGTTTAATCCAAGGTTTATTTTTGTTTTTCTGCCTGACTGTCATTGGAGGGGCGTGTTTTTCTACCCACCACCAACAGCCTATAACAGTCCACTGCTGGACATAGGCCTCTCCTTAGAAAGGAGGTTTTGGCCTACTATACCACGCTGGCCAAACGGGTTGGTATAGGGTTTGTTTCAAGTTTTCCTTCTCTTAGCAGTGCTGTCGTTCTGCGTAGTTTGCTCCCTTAGTCGGCTCTTACGACACCCACGGGATGAATAGGGGTGGTGACATTCCGTATTCTTAATCCGTCACCACACGGACGGCCTGACTTTTATTGGAGGGGCGTGTTTTTCTATGTTAGCATTTAGTATTGTTTTTACAATGTTCCAGAAATCTTCCACTTGTTCAGTTATGACTATATTATTTAGGCCTTCGCAGAGGTCCTTGTTAAACTTATTGAAGTCAATCTTTTGATAGTATCGCTCCTGTTGCGGTTGAGAACCTGATGGGCAAGTGAGGCACTGCATTTGAAGGTGCAATACACCGTGATCGCTCTTGCCAATAGGTGGTAGATGGTTTATACTGGATATCATAGAACCATCGTTAATCATAACGAGGTCCAGTAGTGATGGTATATTGCTCTGTCGATATCTTGTGGGGCCGGATACTAGCTGATGGAGATTACTGTCAAGAAACATAGTCTGAAACAACTGTGGTGCGTCACTCAGTCTTTGGTCTTGGTCTGAACACATAGGCCAGACGAGGTCCGGGTAGTTGAAGTCTCCCATGATAAGTATGGTGTTGGTTTCAGAAGCATGTGATATATTATTAAGTAAGACTTTGTCGTATTCTGCCCAGTTAATATTACGAGTAGTATCTGCACGGTAGACTCCAACTAGTACAAAATGGTAATGCACAAATTGTATATCAAGGTATAGCGCCTCCACCATATCAGCCATATACCGGTTATTTTTGCGTGCAATTATTGGGATGCCGTTAACATTGCTTCTGACATAAATCGCTGCACCACCGCCCCTTGATTTTCCACCTTCGGCCCTTGTCCGCTTTTTGCGGTCTTTTCTAAAGAGAGTGTAGTTTAGTATTGCATAGGTACTGTTCCTGTCATTATTATTAAGCCATGTTTCTGTAACAATTATGAATGTGGGTTTTTGCGCGTTTATGTCAAGAAGGAATAAGTCGAATTTAGCGGATAGTGAGCATAAGTTGGTATAATAAAATGTAAGATTGGTGTATAGAGTGTTACTACTTATTAGTCTTTTGTCATGATAATCTTTGGCATTCCGCTAACATATTTTAGAGTGATATCTGTCTCACCTTTATCCATTCTTTCTTTTAGGCTCTGGCGGAGCTGGTTGAGTTCTTTTCGTTGCTGTGGTGTTCTGTTGATTCTTACCTCCCGCACTTTTACCTTGTTTTTTAGAATGTGGACAGCATTAGATCGACTCTTCAGAACGACTTTCATGGGCCTGGGCTTTGAACTGTCTTTTTGACCTAAGCGAATTATCTTGACCACTTTAGTTGCGGCTCCACTATCAACAGTGATTTCCTCTAAAATTTTTTAAGTCCTGATTCGTCATGGGCACATTAAAAAGATTCTTTTCACAAAAGAAGATAACTTTAAATACTTCAAATCAAATTAAGGATTTGCTGGATACTAGTTTTGAATGCTTGCATCATCTTAACAACATGAAAGTGAGCACAGACAATTGGGACCCGATAATTATATTCGTAATGGTGCAGAAATTAGATAGTGAAACTCATAAAGATTAGGAAGAGCATGTAAGCTACAATTGCCATGACTCCGATAAACTGCCATCCCTCGAGTTTTTTCGCAAGTTTCTGGAACGGCGTTTTCGTACTTTAGAACTCACAGAAACCGTAAGACATCAACCTGCTCCTGTGACTATACGAGAAAGGGCGTTCCACGTCGCAACGCAAGAAAACAACAAGATATGCAAGATGTGTGATGAAGAACACACCCTTAGCTATTGTAAGTTATTTGGAAGATATACACCATCGCAAAGAAGTGAATTTGTCAAAACAAACAACTTGTGATTCTACTGCCTTGCACCCGGACACTCTGTGAGGCAATGTCGCATTCCAACAAGTTGTCAAATATGTAAGAAACGTCATCATTCGCTAATTCACGAAACCAAAGAGACCAGAACATCAACAGGTACCACAATGGGCAACACAGAGAGTTTACAAACAAGACAACCTGGAGTGGTGCTACATACAAACATGGAGAAGAATGGCGATGAAGAAACAGATGTAACAATGATGGCGTCGCACATCTCAACAAAACAGAGCACAATATTATTAGCTACAGCACTGGTACAAGTGACTACTGATGACAATTATGAGGTGACTCTGCGTGCCTTGATTGACCAAGGCTCGCAAGCAAGCTTCATAAGCGAATCAGCAGCACAACTACTGAAAGTCAAGCGGTATCCAATGAAAGGTACAGTTGTTGGTGTAGGATCCACTAGAGAAGACATCAAGCAGGTGGTGCATATCAATATATAATCCAAATGTGTTAGTTTTAACCTGAAGGTTGAAGTATACGTAATGTCGAAGGCACTGACTACCAAAATTCTAGCCCAAACAATCAACGTAAGACATTCATTGGCCTCACCTGGATGGACTAGTTCTAGCGGACTCGACGTATTACAAGCCAGGTTTGATTGATTTGCTCCTGGGTGTCGACGTTTACACTCAAATAATTCAAAACGAACTCATTAAAGGACTGCCAGGATCTCCATGTGCATATAGAACAAAATTCATTGGCAAGATAGAAGATAAAACGGAACCAGATTCTATGCTCGTCATGCATCACAATATAGACCTAGAAGACTTCTTAAAAACACTATGGGAAATAGATCAAGTTCAAGAGCGAAAATATACAAAAGAAGAACAAAAATGCGAGAAGTTTTATGAAGAAACGTACCAAAGAGATAGCAATGGAAGATACATAGTTAGATTACCATTTGTTACAAGACAACCAGCATCGCCGAATGGAAATTTCTATGAAGCGTTTGATCCAACAAGAGAGAAGATTACAACAAACACCAGAGCTTAGAGAAGAATATGACAAGGTGATAGAAGAATATATGACAATGAGGCATATGACAGAAGTACCCGAAGATGAGATGAACAACAAATCTGTGTATCTGCCTCACCATGCAGTTATACGATCAGATAAAGAAACAACAAAATTACGAGTAGTCTTTGATGCGCCCTGTAAAAATGAAAATGGCATTTCATTAAATGACGAACTTATGACTGGACCGGTACTTCAAGAGGATATGCGTAGCATATAAATGAGATGGCTGATGCATAAGGTTTGCTTTATCAGCGACATCATGAAAATGTACAGAATGATTCTGCTGGAAAAACAAGACATAGACTATCAACGAATATTATGGCGTCGCAGATATAAACAACAGGAAAATATACAAACACAACAAGAGTTTTTAATCAAACCATCTGAAATCAAAGACTATAGACTACAGACAGTTACATTCGGTACAACATCTGGTCCTTACCTAGCAGTCAAGACCCTAATGAAAGTCGCAAAAGATGAAGGTGAAGCATACCCAGAAGCAGCCAAAATAATCCGCAAAGACTTCTTCGTTGACGATTTGGTTTCTGGACGAGATACAATGCAGCAAGCTATCGACGTCCGCAAACAAATAATTACCATCCTACAATGCGGAGGCTTCACATTACAGAAATGGGCGAAAATGGGCGGGCAAATGACAAAGAATTTCTGAAAAGTATAGATTCAAGTAAAATCACAACAAATGTTCAATTATGAACACAATTGCATCACCAAGCAACAGTATTTATGTCACATGTGGTACGGCGTAAAGTCGATGCACTGTCAACATTTCGGCATGACCGAGATTAAGGCAGCTTCATCAACACAACACATGGATGGCACACAAGCAAATAGCCATCCATGTGTACTTAGAGTAAGTTTAGTATATAAGAGGTATTATTATGTAAATAAATCAGTCATTCTGTCTAATCCGACTTTGACTCATTACCCTGTCCCACCTCTCACCTTTAGCCGTCAGTAGATCGGTCTTGTGAGTCTGCTCGACCGGTAGTGAGAAAATTATCTCCTAAACCCCGCTCCCTTCACGTCACCGTCTGTTACCCTAGGTCTCCAGGTAACAGACTTCCTGCACCGCATATATGTAAATATACCCTCAGCGCAAGGTAATATATTGGTAGGACTAGGGAATTTAGGTACGTAGGCGTAGGTTACGTACGAGTATTGCTCGGTTCACTACGGTGCCCCCTCGATAAACGTTTTTAGGTTGTAATTAAGATAGGCTTTCGGTGTTACACGTACGAGTGCTGATTGGTATACCACGAATGCCCGTCCGCACCCGTACAACAAAGGCAAACTTAACATTTAAATCAGATGGTATTATCAAGGCTCTAGGCATATCATGGAATCTTGGAAAAGATGAATTTCATTACCAACTGCAATTAGAAAATATTTCAACAACTATAACAAAGAGAATTTTGCAAATCTGATAAGATAGTTATCAGATTTGCAAAATAGATATTGTTATAGCGCCAGTTATTGTTAGAGCGACGATTCTGATACAAAGATTATGGCTAAAAGGCTTAGGTTGGGATCAACAGCTTGGGATGCTAGGCTAGGAAACCTCCACCCTGGAAACGTTGGTGGTGGCGCTGTCTCTTCCTCTATACAGTCAATATTCTAGCACGAAGAGGAGGCCATCTTTCTTTGGCCAGTAGGACGAGGCTTGGTCCAACAGAGCGGGCGGATCTGCCGACTCCTCTGTTGGCTCTTCGCTCTTCAGAGCAATGAGGACGGAAACCTCGGTAAAAACAACGAAGGCGACGCGCAGAAGGGTTCCCCTTTAACGAATCGGAATGGAGAAAATGGACGGGTTCGGTGTGTACTGACACTGCCACTGACACATTGGAAGATTTTGTCTTCCCGCCGCCGTCGGCATATCGTAATCCCGAAAAGAGTCTCGTAGTTATATCTCTCGATTCCGATCGGGGACGAGGGTTTTGGCTTAGCCGCCCGGACTGTGAGGAAGAAAACCTCTATAAAAAATTACTCCGAATAACGTGTTCTGGTGCGTAGCCAGGGGATGCATGGCTGATGGGTAGTTAAGCCAGCCGAGGCACCTGCGGACCCCTCGGTTGGGCATAAATTTACGCTTGCCCGGGTACTGGAGGATCTCTGCCCGGGTTGACTTTTATTTCTCCCCTACTCGTGAGTCTAATTATGGAAACTTTAAATATTAAAAATAAAAATCAAGATAAGAAGGAGAGGAAGAACAAAAAGGAGAAGGGTGGAAAGGTTGATGACTTCTCGTCCAATGACGAGGAGTTTTTGCCTGAGACGCCTATCGCGGAACGGCTCCTAGAAATCAACCTGGCTTCTGGGAGCCTAAGAAGATCGGAACGTCTGAGTTTCAGGTGGACCATTCCGTCGGACAGTAACTCCAGTACGACGATGGACATGCTGGAGCAAATAGACGTGGAGTTCCGCGATAGCCGGAAAGGCGGACGCTGCATCGACGAAGATGCTGATACGTCCCGGGAGATGCTACCTCCCAAAATGGCTAGTAGCCGCAGAGGGAGGTCGCGCACTCCGGTCTCAGCTCTGTCAGGCTTCGTCTTCTCTAAGGCGGAAGCCTACAGACGAGTTAGGGCGGAGGGCGAAGACGTAGTGGGGGAGGAGATCGCTGATCTCCTGCTAAAAATTCAGGATCCGGTAGTAGGGAGTTCTGTCCCCAAACACCGGTGTCCATGCAGGAGAGGGCGAACGTGGCTGTGGCCATCATCAACAAGGTGGCCACCAAATCTACGAACCTTAAAGGTCAGTTTGTCAGGGCCCTTAATTGTCAGGGCCCTTGCTCAATATTGTGGCCATCATTCCCTCTAGACTTCGATGATATTGTTTTTCAATATCCTTAGCACTGAACTTTATTTCCAGCTCCATTCCAGCCTCAACATCGAGCCCACACGACGACGGTCCGAATGGTGATTTTACACCAAAGTAATTTATAAAGATATTCGCAATATCTTTTGAATCACTCACTCCTTCGATACACACAGGATTTTACCAATTGTTTGATTACACAGGGATTTAAACAATCTTCTGGAATCACACATCCCTCATATATTTTACCGGCAGATGGTTTACTATACGACACCCGCGTCAAAAATTTGTGTATGGCCTCCCTGTGTGCCCCGCTTATATGTTTATGCAATAATAGGCCTATGCTCTAATATGCCACAACGTTTATCAGCATGTTGCACCAGCTCCCGCAGAAAATCGACTACCTTTAACTTGTCGTGACAAACCATGTATTGTATTCATTGATCTGTTCGGAGCTTCTTTCATCCCACGCTACTTTTTTTGTGTATAGACACAATCACTAGTTTTTTGTAAGATAATGTCCAAATTACACTCAACCAATACAGGAAAGTGGTCCGACCATAAAACATAATTCACATACACACACTTTTTTTTTTGTTGACGGTGTGGAAAATTTATTTATTTATTTATTTTAAACTTAATGCACATATTGTACAAAGGCGGACTTAATGCCATTAGGCATTCTCTCCCAGTCAACCTTCAGGTGATGTAGAAATATGATGCGGTAGGTGCAAAATAAAATATGATATTAACATAATTTAGGTCCAGAAACATACACAATATAAAAACACACATGCATACATAAACCTACATAAATTTAATAAAATATATAAATACTCAGTCGGGAACTAGAGCTGTAACTATTTCGCCAATTCACCCCGAAGAAGATCGCGCACTTTTCCCTTGAATGCAAGGCGATTTGTTGACATCCTGATTTCGGCAGGGAGGGCATTCCAGAGGAGGACTGACTGGACGTAGAAGGAGGAGTTGATGAAGTTAGAGGTGTGAGGGGGGCAAAGAAGAAGCATATTGTTGGTTGATCGAAGATTTCGATCGTGATTGGAGCATAGGAAACGGAAGTGGGGTACGAGGTATTCGGGTAACGATGGAGAGTTGAGGAAAGAAAAGAGAGAAGTCAGTGCTCGTAAACTGCGGCGCTGACGAATTGGGAGCCATTGCAGCTGGGAACGTAAAGCAGACACGTGGTCATACTTGCGAAGATTGAAAACGAATCGAATGCAGTTATTGAGAAGGCGATCTAGTTTATTGAGAAGGTCTGCATTCAGGTCGAAATAACACACATCACCATAGTCGATTATGGGAATAATTAAGGACTGCATAAGCGTAACCTTAGTTTTAGCGGGAAGGAAGTTCTTCAATCGATATAAGGCACGGAGACATGTGGTGACTTTCTGGCCGACGTGTGTAACCTGTGCCCGCCAGTCAAGTGTCGAGTCGATATATAACCCCAGGTTCTTTACCACTGCACTATAAGGTATAGTCACATTGTTGTAGACAACTGGTGGGATGACCGCCATATCCAACCTACTTATCATTTGTTTGCTCCCCACGACGATCACTTGACATTTGGTTGGATTTACCGACAAACCAAACCTCGTTGACCAGCTCTTTATAAAGTCCAAGTCCTTGTTGACTTTGTCGATAGCGTATGTTATGTCCTCAACCCTTGTCTGTGTGTACACTTGTAAGTCATCAGCGTACAGGTGATACGTACACTGAAGGTGCTGGGTTATGAGATTAATAAATATTGAGAATAATAAGGGAGATAATATACCGCCTTGAGGGACGCCAGTGAGAAGATCACACCAACTCGACGACAAGTCATCAATATGAACACTCTGTTGTCGTCCCTGAAGATAGGAGGAGAACCATTCCAGAGCTTCTGAGAAGATCATAAGATAGGAAAGGATGGCCAATAGAACGTCATGACTAACGGTATTAAAGGCATTCGAGAAATCAATCAAAGCCAGCACTGTGACTTTAGTCTCCTCCACACCCTCCCTAATATCGCTTGTCACTTTGAGGAGAGCGGTGGTTGTGCTGTGACCAGGTCTGAACCCAGATTGTAAAGGACTAAGAAGATTCTGCTGATTTACAAACTGTGCGAGCTGCTTATGTAC